AAATCTTCTGATTTTCTGTTTGCTTTTCTCAACTATTGCTTTTCTCATTTATGAAACAAGTAATAACAGTCAAATTAGAGTCTACCTCAAAAAGTTATTGGAAGAGGTTGTTTTGATGCTCAAATATTCGCAAATTGATCATCTTGACATCAAGAAGCATGAACATAAAAAAAAAAATGGATTTCAAGTTTTTGAAATAGTACATCTTGTAACGCATTTTTGAACCGTCAATTTTCAAGATTTTCAAATGTTCATATATCTGCTCGATTTACACTATTTTTTAAACTTCAAATTTTCTAATTAAAAATAAAAATATATTTTATTACTATCACAAAGATTTCCAATATTGAAACCACATTTCTCGATAGTATGGGCTCTAATTTGATTGTTTAGAGCCTCTATAAAGCTATTGGTCTTCTCCAGCAATAAGTAATTACATAAATGAATAAAATGACAAGCAATATAACATGAATGCATGGTAGTTTTTTTTTTTTTTAAATAGAAATTAATGCATGGTAGTTATAATAAAACAATAAAACCCATAGCCAAAAACAGAGAACAGATTACAATAATTTCACGTTGATGGGATGAAAACTAAAATATACCATGATACTGTATAAACCATATACAGTAATTACGTTGAATATGCATGGAGCTTCACATCTTCACATGTAATTCCCGCCTATAGAAGTGCAAGTTCAGTGCAATTGAACGCAACGCACAATACCCACAATGACAATAACAAAAACAAGCCATGACTACATGAGAAAAAAAGATACTAACATCGCATAAATCACCTAGTACGCATCGAAGTGCATAATCTGAATTAAAAGTGAGAAGGATCAGTTCTTGAATTAGGGGAAGAATTGGGTTCTTCCTTCCTTTCATTCATGCCATTGGGCATGGACTTAGAGTGAGAAACCTCTGGTTTTGAAGGAGAAGATAAAATTGGGGGGCTTGTTTCCAAATATGACCAATTGGGACCATTTTTTTGGGGATTTTAGAGTGAAAAGTGGGGTTTTGAGATTGGGAGATGGTATTGAGAAGGATTTGAGCTTCTAAAACCGAGCTTCAAGATGAGAGGGAAGAGTGAACAAGGAATAGATGACATCCTCCTCACAATTAAGGCATGCAAGATCAGCACAGTCATGAATACCAAGAAATAATGCAGATCTAATGATATTTCACAAAAAATGTATAAAAAATGCATATTTGTTCTTCGTAATCCGATTTTATACAGAGAGGTGGTCAGTCTACTCCTTTTCGTTGTTAATCTCATTTTAGATAAAGAGAGAGGTGGTCCATCTACTTCTAGAGAGGGAGAGAGTGCTTTATGAGAGAAGCTTTGCGAGAGGACTTGGTGAACAGAGGGGAGAGAGAGAGACGGTTTACAGTGAAAAAGCGGAGAGAGGGCTTTGTAACAGAGGCACAAAGCAGCGAGGTGATAGAAGAGAGACTTAGTAGGGGTAAGAACGGGCGGGATCCGACTGGATCCAGATCTAAATAGTGTAAATCGGATTTGGGTTAGATCTAGCTAAAATTGGATCATGAATATTAGGATCCGAATAGTATACATTAGATCCGGATATAGATTATATATAAAATTTGTATATATAAACAAAAATTTACTATTTTAAAAATAGGGTTGAATCTGGGTTGGATCTACTTGCACCGGGATCCGATACAAATTTCAATTTAGATCTTTTAAATCCATATCCAAATTTCAGATCCATACCCGGATCCAAATGAGATTCAAAATCTGAATTTTGGATCCGGATTGAGTCAATTCTCACCACTAAAAATTAGCGTTCAAAGAGAGGAGTTAGGCAATTAGGTATTTTAGGTGAAGGGAATGTTAGAGAGAGAGAGAGAGAGAGAGAGGTAG